TTTCAAGTGATCTATTCAAATTATATATTATTAAAATGTAAAATAAGTTGCACGTAGAACTTAAATTAAAATTTATATTCCTCTTATAAATAATTTGTGATAATAAAGAAATATGTGAATGATAGACAATTATTATTACCTATGGATGAAACTAAAATAAAATCTTAAATCGTTCTTTGATCTATTCAAATTATATATCTTTAAAATCTATAATAAGTTTATATCCCTCTTATAAATAATTTGTGATGAGAAAGAAATATGTGAATGATAGCAAAATATAATTATATATGGCTGTAAAATATAAATTAATTAACTTTTATTATGTTAACAGCTTTTAAGGGTATTTCAGACATTTTGATTTAAAAAGTTGTTTATCAGCACTTATTTGTCAAACATATCAACAACTTTTTTTTAACTTCAGCACTTTATTCAAACGCATATCTGCTTATTTTTAAAATAAGTTTCAGCACTTTCAAAAATACTTTTTTAAAGCTGCTTTTATTAAGCCTATCCAAACGGGCCCTTAATAGTCAGATAAGAGTGAATTAGAACTCTTTTAATTGTTATTTGGACCTTTTAAATTGCTTAAGTATATATTTTGGACTTCTTAAATTTTCAAATGCATACTTCAAATTGTTGTATATGAAACCTATTTTAAAATAGGAGCGAGTATCTTTCGATAAGAAAACATACAAGTACTACGGGTGTGCTTGGTAGTGAGAAAATATTTTTGATGAAAAATGTTTTTTTATAAAATAAGTAGATTTTGAATTTATTTTTTTATTTTTTGTCGGTGAATAAAAAATATTTTTTTAAAATAATTTTAGTGTTTAATTTATGAATGAATTTTTTTTTTGAAAGACATCTTTTATTTTTAGTAGAGTGAAAAATAATTTATGAAATTAAAAATATTTCTTAAAACAATTTTTATTTGGGGTGGGGGGAGGGGGGAGGAGTGAAAAAATAAAAATTTAAACTTTATAGCATTTTTAAAAAACAAAATTAATTTTTTTGGGGGGTTGGGGTGGATAGGGGGCTGGCCGGGGAGGGAGGGAGGAGGGGGTAAGAGTTCAAAAATAAAAATTTGAAGTTGAAAATATTTTTAAAAAGCAAAATTATTTTTTTGAGAAGGAGGTGGGGTCGGGGAGGGGAGAGGGCTGACCGGTGGTGTGTGGGTGGGGGTCAAGGATCGGATAAAAAAAATAAAATTTTAAAATTGAATTTTTTTAAAAATAAAATTGTTGTTTTTCCAAAAAAAAATGTAATTTAAAATTGGATGATAATTTTAGAAAATGTTTTTCTTAATTTTTGAAGTTTGAAGGAAAGTCATTTTCCTTAATTTTGAGAAAAATGAGTTGATTTGAAAAATATTTTCCAAAAATTTTGTCCCAACCAAACATGAGAAAATTGGAAACCTTCTTACCAAACACACACTATATATATATATAATAAATAGAAAATAAAAGAACAAAATTAAAATAATACATTTTGAAGAAATAATACATATAGTTTTTTATTTTAAAAAAATTAATTCAATCATTGCTTCGTCCAAATTAATCCTTTGAATTTGAGAATTGAATCAAAATCATCCTTTTGTTCAATGTGAAATATTAATAGTCAATCAGAATATTTTTATATATCTCATTTCGATTTTCGGATAGCGTTAGGTCGGAGAGGATGAGCCGCTAGGGTGGGCGAGGGTTCGTTTGGATTAAGAAGGAGTGGTTGGACTAAAATGGTGTGTGATCAGATATGAAACATAAATTGATGAAGAATTGTTTTTTCCTTTACTTTAAAAAGGTTATGTATGGAAAAAGATTGATTACTTTTAGAGAGGTGTGTATCAACGCCAAATTAGGAAGTTAAAGAAGAACGTATTACGTATGTATATCTCACCCTCATGATGAGTGTTGAAGAGACACTTTAAGTAGGAGACGAATAAAACTTTTCTTCAGATGACTCATTTGTCACTCATAAATCCATGTAACACTTTTGGATACATCAATCTAAAGTTAATTTTCACTTTTGTGCAAAAGAAGTGTATGACGAATCTTCTAGATATATAGGAGCATATCCTTAATTGCTAGTATTATATAATATCCACGCCAAAAAGAATAATTTTCAACTTCTTTTTGGATGCATCAAACAAAAGTTTCCACTTTTTGCAAAAGAATAATTTTAAACAAACAAAAGTTACAAGAAAATATAGTTTATTCAGATGTATATATGTATGCAACAAGGTACTATAACGTGTCATTCCATGATGAATGGTGAAGTATAATACTACCTTTTGAGCTACCTAAGTAAAGATTCCGGGACACTTGTTGATTGCTAATTAACTACATATGCATATAATTAGCTCTTGGATAAAGAGTAATTAGAGGGAAATCTAAATGGGACTTTGTGAGGATCTTCAGATACAATAAATTATAACCACTCTCAGATATGGTACACTGAAAATATAATATGTTCAAAAAGTATATTCATCCCCTATTTCCTTGATATGAGGAAAATAAACCAAAAATATACACTTGAACATTGCACCAGGTGTTTTATATTTACTCTTATTCAAAACTTTCCTTGCCATCAAAGCAAACATTTCATATTTTTATCTGCTAGATTTGGGATTTCAATGCAAGCAAATGGGAGCCTGCTTTAGTTATATTTAAATATTTAGCGTTTAGATTTATATTCATTTTTTTTTAACTTTTAGACAGATTGAAAGCTTAAATATTTTTTTCAACTATCAGTATATTGTTATGAACTATAGTCATGGTTGGTAATGAAAGAAAATAAAATAAATAACCCTACCAATTGAAGTGCTACTGCTTCCATCTAAATTATTAAGACGTGGATAGGTAGCCCAAAACAACACGGTATGGAGGAGTTAAGAAAGGGACTACCAAACAGCTATACACAAATTCATTGTTTGTGACAAGTGCCCCTCTCATTTGACATTTAATGAGTGTGTCCAAACCCAACTACTAGCTAGCCACAGCTAAGTATAGTGAGTGGCCACCACCTCCTAAACTTTCATTGTATGCTTATTTTTATACTTTATTTTTTCTATTTTGCAATAGTATGATCATGATCCTAGTAACTTCTATTCACCCAACATGATTATTTATATTCAAATATTCTATTTCCATGATTAATTATTATAGTTTTCATGTCGATGCATGTCTCTAGCTCTTACAAAATTTGCAACTCTTGGGATCATTGTTTAATGACCTATGATAAGTTCTCATGTAACTTTTTTACGTTACATTTTGGAGACTAAAAGAATATGTATGTACTCACACGAATTTGTCCATACAAAATCAAAGTCAATGCAATGAAGCTCTAGGAATTAAAGAACCAAACGTGATATAAATGGTATTCCTTTATTTCATGTTTAATTTTTTTTTTAGTCTACTTAAAAATAAATATGTCTATTTTTATCTAACGATTCTTTAATTATAATTTTTTAACATGATATCATTAAAATTGCAAAACTAAAGCTTAGTCTGATAGATTATATTGACCATAAAATTCAAAAATTCCTTTTTACTTTCTTAAACCAAAATTTTTTTTAAAATTAAATGAAATCTTTTTTATTTCAATTTATATAATAGTATTTTTCTCAATCAAACATAATCGCGTAATTGATACTATTAACATTATTTGGGTAAGTGCTTGGACCTGGGAACACTGAGATAACATGATACTCATACGAGCACAGATGTAGTACCCACCTTATAACTTGATGAGTTGTCTCATAAACAAGATTTAACCACCATATGTAGCAATATAGTACTAGTATGTCTCTCTAGATCTCACTCTATGAACTTAAATTCAATCTTTGGTTGTACATTTATGCTTTAACTTAATGTCCCATCCAAAAGTACTTCCAATCCAGACAAATTTTGGGAGCCCACACCCATTTTTCTCTATGCCAACCGACTTTTCTGGATGAATGAACCTTTGTTAAGCCCGAGCTGGCGGTGGCCTAGATGCTCGAGAAAAGTAATAAATTAAGCTTAAAAAAATCTAAAGTTTGTACTACATAAATCCTTTAAATAAATAAAATATTGAAGAGAGATATGCCACTATCCCTATCATTATACTATAGTTGATGTAAGTATGAAAGTTTTTCTCTTGTTTGTTGGTGAAGTCTTGACAGATAGAATTATGAAAAAATAATAATTTAAAAATTAAATAAGATTATAGTTATAATTTTTTTATGATTTTTATCGGATTTTACGTAAACATCTGGCTTCAAATTATGAATTATGATCGGGAGTGGGGCGAGTCCCGGGTTTAATTTTGATGGGACTCCCCAGTGAAGTTCGGATCAAGTCCCGACCAGAAATTGGGAGTTGGGCCTAGGGTTAGGGTTGGAGTTGGGTAAAGTTTCGCGTCGAAGTCAAGAGTAAATTGGTAGTTGGGCCTAGGGTTGGGGTTGGAGTTTGGGTAAAGTCTCACGTCGAAGTCAAGAGTAAATTAGGTTTTGTATTAGCATCGGGGTAGAAGTATAGTCAATGTCATGAGACGAATCTTGGGTCAAGATTAGGTCATGAGTCGGGTCACGCGTATGTTCGTTGTCAGGCCTAAGTTAAGTTTAGATCAAGGTCTAGTCAAGGGGATAAAGTTCTAAGTCGAGCTCAAGGTTAGGGTTGTGTCTTGGGTCATTCTCAGGTCTAGGGTCGTTGTCGTTACAGGAGTCAAGATCCGTGTTACAAAATAAGATTTAGATCTGATATCATAATATTTGTCTAGATCATACTTAAATATTCTTAGTTAATATTTTGATTTTACTAACCAAACATAAAAAAAAAAATAGTAAAAGAACACTTATTTTTCTGAGAAAACATTTTTCTTTCGTACTACCAAACACACCCTTAAGCTTAAAAAATCTAAGCTTGTACCAAATAAATCCTTCAAATAAAAAATAAGAGAGATATGCCTCTATCCCTATCATTATACTATAGTTGATGTAAGTATTAAAGTTGTACTCCTGTTTGTTGGTTGAAGCCTCTGACAGATAGAACCATAACAAAATAATTAAAAAACCCACACTTTGTTCACATGTACATCACATTGACACATAATTCCAAATTAACTATTCTTTTCTCCCAACTTTTGTCTCCTTCCATGATATTTTGCATATATAAAACAACCAGCTTAAAGAATGATTCATGAACATAACCTGTTTTGTAAAAGGAAAAAAAAAATGAACCTTTCAACAATTCGAACAATGGCTGCTCTTTCCCCAAGGTCTCATTCTCATAACTCTTACCGTACCCGTTGTGTTAGTTTTCCTGCTAGATCACACCCCAGCACAATCAAGATTGAGCAAGTTTTGAACAAAATCAAAACTTGGGAATCATCTTCTCCTTTATCTCCAAAAGCAGAAGAAAAAACCCAAAATGCCCTGTCAAGCGGCCTTGTAGAATTGTACGAGTGTATAGAGGAACTCCTTGCGTTGCCAATGACTCAGAGGGCGCTTCTCCAGCATCAAGATGACAATTTTGTGAAGGAATTGCTGGAAAGATCAGTGAGATTCATAGATATCTGTAGCAATACAAGGGATACCGTTATGTGTTTGAAAGAAAGCGTGAGAGAACTACAATCCGCGCTTCGAAGAAGCAAAGCTGGAGATGATTTATTGACTATTGAGGGTAGTGTTAGTGCTTATATTTCTTCAAGAAAAAACGCTCAAAAGGAAATTGAAAAATCCCTTACTATACTGAAACAGATACATAACACCCCATCAGCCACAATGAAAGACTCTCAGCTCTCTGCTATAATAAGAGTTCTTGAAGATGCCAGTTTCACAACTATTTCTACTTTCCAGTCATTGCTGATGTTTCTTTATGTGCCAGCCTCGAAACCAAAGTCCAATAAATGGTCATTGGTTTCGAAGCTAGTACATAAAGGGGTTGTAGGCAGTGAAGGGCAAAGGGAAAAGCTAACTGAGTTGGAGAAAGTTGACACTGCACTCAACAGCTTGCTGGATCATGTTTCTGGACATGAAGAGGAAGTGGAAAGTTTTGAATTTGCACAAAAGAATCTGGAGAATTTGGAGAGTAGCATTGAGGATCTTGAAAATGGATTGGAAATGTTGTTCAAGCTTTTGATCCGGACAAGGGTGTCTCTACTCAACATACTTTCTCTCAGTAGATAAATTGAGGTATCATGCATAACAGCTCAAGTATTTTTTTGCATGATTGAAGCTGTGATGTATAGATATTGAATTTCTAGTCATTGAGTACTGTAGATGAACATATTGTGTATAGTATTAGCAGCTAAGGGTGAAGAGGATTAAGAAACATGGACAAAGTTTTCCAATTTCCTAATCTTTTTCTCTGTTTGTCTTTTGTGTTATTCCAGTTTTACAGATTAGTGCCAAAATTTTGCAGAGGTGCTAATTCTGGCCAAGATTAGTTATTATTTGGACTTGAGGCCCAAAGAAGTCCAAGAGTGTGTGCAAGTAACATGTAGCTGTCAATGGGCTGATATGATATGAGTAGGCCCATTCAGTATTTCAGTCCATTAAGGGATTTTAGCCCTTTCTTGTGTATGTTCATTCTGTACTATATAATCCATTAATTAATGGATCTAATTGCTCATTGTGTATGAAATTTGTGAATTTTTTTTTTGGATGCTTCTTAAATTGATCTGTTGCAGGTGTAGTAACTAAATGGGTGAAAATCCCTTCCTTTTTATTTAGTTATAATAATGTGTTCAAATTAATATTATAACAATGATGCTAAGATATCTGTAGAACAAGAATGATAGTGAATCTTTTTAACAACTCGAATGGGATGTTTATTAACAAAGACTTAAGTCATAGACAACCCTTTAAAGTTTTTCACACATTTCATTTAAATATCTCAATTTAGCTTTGTACTTATCCAGCACTTAAATCTTAACAAATTTGTACCTATTTATCGCAAAATTACAATAAATTGATAATAAATATGAGTGTGTTTCGAACTCCTCGACATAACAAACATACCAATAAAAGAATGACATATGTCATGGATCTAAATTTTTTAAAAACTCTATTTAAATAATTTAAAATGAATATTAAAAAAATAAAATTTTATCATTTTGAATTACCCTCTCCACCTGTCTTCTCTTCTTCTTCAGAACCTATTTCCATGGCCTTCCAATTTCCATTGACGCTGACGCTGACGCCGATGCCAGCAGCCTAGAAAATCATCATCCGACCTCTATCTTCCCCCTCCCCCCCTTGAATCGACCATTCTCTTCCATTTTGATATCATCAAAATCATTCATTATCTTTATCATTTTTCGATTAAAAATTATTAATTACAATTACAATTACAAGAGATAATAATAAACTTTTGCCCGAAAAAGTCAATTCATATTTTTTCATCGGATTGAATGGAGCTTCACCAAAATTTTGACAGAGTGAATCTACATTTAAAAAAAAAAGAAAAAGAAGAATTTGCAGAGGATGAGAGAGAGAGAGGTGGGGTGGTCTGCTGTGTAAAAAAATTAAGGATGAAAATGGCACAGGGAACTGGGTTGGGGAAGAAGATTACTTTTTTACAAAAAATATATTTTTTCTTTTTTCCTTAATTTTGGTATATAAGTTATGAAAAAAGAAGAAAAAAATTGATTTTACTAAATTCACGCTCATAAAGGAAGTGTAGTCCACATTTTTTAACATGTCTATATTTTATGTTAAATATATAAATAACTTTTTGAATAAACAAGGTATTTAAAATAAAGTGTTTAATGAATATGAAGATAAATTAAGATATTCAAATAAAATATGCAATTAATTTTAAGCGGCATATGCCTTGAGTCATTAAGTAAACCCCACGAGAGAGCCTTCTAAAGAAGGTGCTTTGGGGTTTAAAACCTATTTAAAGAATCAGACTGAGATAACCTGTAGAAATTTATGAACAAGAGGAAATTGATATTCAACCACTACAAATTTAGGACCAAACTTAACTAAAGTTCTAAGATAAAAAAATAAAATAATAATAATAAAAAAATAGGACCAAACTTTAAGATGTTCAAAATTGGGATATTTGGTCAAGTATAATTAAGTTAAATAATATTTAATTATGTGTATTATATAATAATTTATAATTGAAATCTATTTAAATTATATACTCATTATAATAATTAAACAATAAAATAGAAAATTATTTTTACTTTTTTTCAAAACCATTAAATAGAACAATTAAGTGTATCCTATCGAATATTTTAAAGAAAAAATTAAGATTGTTGGGTATAAGCAAACTTCTTAACTTTTTATTTATAATTCAATGATGATCTTAAGTTTGACCTATTTTTAGAGATTGCTTCAAAATTTAGAGAAAGCATGAGTGAAATTATTTCCAAATAAGTTTAACTGGTAAAAATCAGGAAGTTCGCTTATTTTCAATGTTAATTTTTTTTCTTAAAAATACTAGTTTGAGTATACATAATTACTTTATTTAATAATTTAAAAAAATATAAAAGTTAACAGCTTTGTTTTTTCTTTTTTATTATTATAATGAATATATGTGTCATAGGTCATTGAATATTACTTAACCTAATATTACTTAATCGGAAATTTATCTTCCAAATTGTTTGAATTTTTTGATCAAATTATTTTTCTTTCAATTCATAGAAGAATAATAACAATTTATAATATATAGATTTGATTTTATAAACGTATCATAATTTTCGTTTATTTAAAATATTGATGGTATCTTAATGGTGAAGACGGTAGTGTGAAAAAAGGTAGGGAAGAAAAAGCAATGTGAAAAGGAGAAGAAAAGTCCAAAGTTCACTGTTCGAAATCTTGAATATACATGGGATCCTCCCTAAGACCCTTACAAACCAACGCCACGTCGTTAGTAAAACAACGGCTCTTTTGTCTATGTCGGTCGTCGCTCCGAGCTGGGCCCACAAATACCGCCACGTCATCCACTTTTGATATAATCATATTTTTGTTGTCGTCCCAAACGAAACGACCGTTACACATACAACTCTGTTCTCTTCTTCACTACCATTCTCACACACACTCTTCTCATCGCTTCACTCTCTCTCTCTCTTTTAACAAGAAAATGACAGTAGCAAACGCTGCCACCAAGCACTGCAAGAAGGCCATGAAGATGGGTCTTTCTCTCTTCTGCAGAACCTTCAATTCTTCTAAATGGTGAATTTCAATATTATTTCTTTTTTGAATAAAATCAATCCTTTTTTTTTTTACATTTTTTTTTGTGTGTGTATGCAGCAAGACAATGGCAAAAATGACGGTGGCGAGAATAAAATTGCTGAGAAACAAGAGGGAGGTGGTTGTGCGGCAAATGAGGAGAGACATTGCTATGCTTCTTGAATCCCATCAGGATGCCACTGCTCGTATTAGGGTACTTTTTTTCCATTTTCGTATTTAACCTCTGATTTAGGGTTGGGGCTTGTTTGTTTGATTGATTGATGGATGGATTAATGGAATAATTTTTATGTAATCTCGAAATCAAATCGTAGGAATGGGGAATTTGGTATATCATGCTTGGGGTGTCAGTCCGAGTCATGGTGGCTAGCTCTCTCCTGTTGCTGTTTAGAATTAGTATTGAAACCCTTGTGAATCATTTAGCTTGAAACATACAATTTTTGCTTTGCTTCAAGATTATAGGGTTTCTACATGGGGATAGAGCTGACTTCTTTTTAGGATCTTTTGGGGCTATTCACCAAAACCTGGAGGCTGTGATTAACTTAATCTCGTTGAAGTATCTTGATTGTAGTTATGATTTTTCTCATTCTGAAACACTTTGCTTACTTTAAAATTATGTGCTTTTGCTAAAACCCTCTTTGCTTCTTAATTTATACCATGGGATTTAGTTACTGAATTTCCCTCCTCCTCTAAGCTTTAACAGCTATGCTGGATGTCTACCTTAATTTTGAGCCAAGATACCTCTGCCATACCTCTTTCTGGTTGTGCCTAAAGATTAGACTAATCAATGTGATATGAAATAACTCTTCTATTTAATGCAAAGTCGAGGGTATATTGGAAACAACTACTTTACTCAACAAATGTATGGGTACGATCTCATACATCCTACCCTCCCCCAGACCTCACAGACCTCACTTGTAGGATTACACTGGGCATGACATTGTGGGTGATCTTGAAGTTGCTTAAAAAGACCCATAATATTATGCACTATGAGGGGGCAGAAATACATTGTGTGTTTATCTTTTGGGCAAGAGATTTTGTTGAAAGTTATCTTTCACGTCTATAATGGTGGATATCAATAAACCTCTTCTATTTTGATACACCAACATGTGATTTTAGAATGACATATTTTTCAAGTTAAAGTGGAATCTTCTTACTTCTATTGCTCATGATCCTTCTTAAGAAGTTACTTTTCTTAGGGTTGTCTCTTTCTACTAATCGTTTGGAAAGAACACTCACATGCTTCATTTTTTATAGGTCGAACATGTAATAAGAGAACAAAATATATTACAAGCAAATGAGATCCTCGAGCTCTTCTGTGAACTTATTGTGGCTAGGTTAACAATTATTGCAAAGCAAAAGTAAGATGTCTCAAGCTATTAATTTTTTTTAAGGTTAGAAGACAAAGCTCACAAATAACCTTGATTTCTATTTATCTGCCTGTTGCAGGCAATGTCCAGCTGATTTGAAAGAGGGGATATCAAGTTTGATTTTCGCTGCCCCAAGGTGCTCAGATATTCCAGAATTGATGGGAATCAAAGATGTTTTTGAGAAGAAATATGGAAAAGATTTTGTTTCAGCAGCGACTGACCTGCGACCCAATGCTGGTGTAAACCGGACGGTAATCATATTTCTTCTCTTGAAACTTGTGGTTCTCTTTATCATAATAAATATATCTATATTTATGTGCTTGGGAGAGGGGTCTAAGAGAAGTGGGTAATTGTTGCTACAGCTCATTGAAAAGCTCTCTGTGAAAACTCCAAGTGGTGAAGTCAAACTAAAAATCATGAAAGAAATAGCCAAAGAATACCAGGTTGAATGGGACACCGCAGATTCAGAGATGGAGCTTCTCAAGCCACCAGAAGAGCGTATAGTGTGTCTCTATCTCAAATCCATCTATATCTGAATATGATGCCTAACGTGTTAGATGACCATCTAACTAGCAACTATTCTCTTTGATCAGGAAGGACCAAATGGCTTTGTAAGTGCCACTAGCTTACCCCTGAAGCCAGCCTCAAAGCAACCTGCTGAGCCTAACAACCTCCGAAGGTATTCATTGATAGGTTAAAGTTTGTTTCCCGCCCTACTATTAAACCATGATTTTTCTTTTGTTTTCTTTGAGAAAAAAAAGTTTTGACTTGGTTGGTCAATTACTAACAGCTCTTCAGATGACGGAGAATCGGAAGTTGCCAAATTTGATGACCCAGCTTCAGCTGCTAAAGCAGCTGCTGAATCTGCCAAGCAAGCAATTGCAGCTGCTGAAGCAGCTGCATATCTAGCCAGTAAAGACGCAAAAGCATCTTCTGCTGGTTGTCACTACTCTCCGAAGAATGCAACTGCTGACAATATCCCTTTCATTTCTGGTGCTCAGGCTCCCAAGTTCTCGCAAATTGAAGTGGCACCACCTTCTCAGTCCATAGTTGATCTTTATGATATGCACTGGAGTAGTAAGAACATCAGGAATTCCGAAAATT